GCTCTACTATGAATGATTGAAGCCGTGTACGAAATTCAGGACGAAAAACGCATGATTTTTTACGGGTTAAAAAAGACGGGGAGGGGGAGGGGCGAGAGGGCCGAGGAAAGGTTGGCGGAGAATTTTCTTGCTCGTTACTACCGGGCAAACGATGGTCCGGTGTATCTCGATTGTCCAATTAAATTTACAGTCTTCGGCCAGCGGCGGCTGTAAAACGAACGCTCGTAACTCGTCGGAGGACCACTAAATGCAAAGCAGCGAGTAACGAGAAATTTTCACGAAAATTAACTGCACGCCCTTCCAATTTCGTTCAACCCCCTCTCCCCACCTTCAAGCATGTACCACATTTTTCTATACAGATAAAACTAACCATTTGCGATATACATATTATATATGTATTATATTATATACTACATATATATATATATTATTGTATATGTACAATAGTTGATGTCATTATTAAAAAGAGAAACAAATTTGAATCCTGCCTTATGTATTTTAATTTAATTTTTTTAATGATTATTAAAAATGGCGGTCTACGAATTAATGGATGCCTAATAAATCGTGACTATTGTACGAAGCATTGAAAACGATAAATTCGAGAATCGATTGAGAACGGTCGAATATAAAAATGGAATGCAACACTTTGGCAAATCCTGTATTTATTAGAGACACATAAAATGGGGATTCCATAAGCTCTCGAATTCGGTCGCTCGTCAAACCATTTGTTACCACCACTGGCAAGCGATAAACTCGGGAAATAATGAAATTCGAACGATTCTTATTCGCGACAGCAGGAACCTTGGCTTTTCACAGTTTTACTGCTTGTACAGAGACTTTGCTGGTGCAAACAGTGACTAAAGGCAAGTCCTCGAATCGGTTTTATTATCAGACACTCGAAATGAAATATTCTCTCATCCATTGTAACATTTGTTGTGTCATTTGTAGCATCTTCTGTATCACTTTTGTCATTCATTGTGTCATTTGTAGCATCTTCTGTATCACTTTTGTCATTAATTGTGTCACTTTTATCATTCTGTGTATCACTTATCATCAATGATTGTGTCACTTGTATCACTTTGTGTATCAATTGTGTCATTCATTGTTATCACTCGTATCATTTATTGTATCACTGGTATCATTTATTGTATCACTTGTGTCATTGATTGTGTCACTTTTATCATTTTGTGTACCACTTGTGTCACTGATTGTGTCCCTTGTATCATTTATTGTATCACTTTTGGTGTTCCAAAAGTATACCTAACCTTTTCTCGATTAACGTTAATAACGGACAGTGGAATTCTTATTAAAAATGGAAGAAAACGTAGAATCTACTACATTCAAGACCATGAAAGTCCACTCATCGAGTTTACAGTGGAAAATCTCTAGTCGTTTGATCCTTAAAGGGAAATTGCGAACGGTGGAAGTTCCGTGGCCATTAGGAGGGCATTCCATGCCAGGAATTCGGACCATCACTTTCAATTTGTTGCAATTGTCGGGGGATGCTCGCATCCCTAACGACTTTTACCTCTAAGGGAACGATCGTACACGTACGTAGGAGGCGAAACAAACGAGACGGACGTACGGACCCTTGCCGGTGTTCCGCGTTGTTGCCCGTTGTTCCGAGTAATGCCGTACAATTAGTCAGTGGTTGATGTACTCACCGGTTTAGTATTATTGCGCCCCTTCGCGCAGTATCCTCGCGCTTCCCGCGTAGACGCTCCCTTCTGCCGATATTGCGTTACGCGAGGCATCCGCGGCCACCGAACTGTGTACCCAGGGAAACACCGGATTATGACCGATTAAATTCCTCTACCCGACCCTCGTCACTCTCCGAGCTGCCTAAACAAAATTTCTGTTACATACAGGAAAAACGAGACCGATGATAAATTAGTTGAAATTTTTCAAAATTTTGAGAAAAAACAGATTTTCAATTTTTCCGAGATTTTTCCAAGCGGTGACTTAAAACTACATGTATTTTTATGATAATCACTTTTCCCGTAGGTGATAGTAGTATTTACAACTTTTATTTGAAGTATTTTTCGATATTTTGAA